CCCCGTCTTGTCAACAGTATCCCGACCTTTATTCCCGCCGAAACAAACTGAAAGAATTACGGCGGTGTTTTAGTTGTATGAAGGAAGGCCACACCACCCCTCAATGCCAACGGCCCATGAAATGTTCCTCCTGCGGTGGCCCTCACCCTCGGGCCCTTTGCCCTCACCTGCTATCCTCCCAATCTCAATTTACACCAAGGCCTCCCCAACGACCTCCGCACACCTACCGTAATACTGGAAACGAAAACCCTCGCCAATACCAACATCCCACGAGACTGCCAAATTTCCAACAGCCCAAGCCAACGCCCGATTGCCATTTCTCTCAATCCGCACCTTATACTCAAATTAATGACCACCGTCCACCTCCTCCACCTACTTTAGAACCAAACCAACAAACAAACTCTTCTACTAACCCTACCAGTAATTACCGACCGATTTTACTAAAATGTGTTCGCACCACGATTTTTAATCCAGACTTCCCTTCCTGTCAATACGAAGGAATTGTGCTTCTCGATGACGCTAGTACCAATACCTACATCCATACTACCGTGGCCAATGCCTTGAATCTGAACCTATCTCCCAGTTCTATTAACCTTGGCGTGTTTAATAACCCTTCCATAACTCCTTTACCTACTTATACTACCACCTTCGGTCTTAAATTAGTTGATGGCCGTTCCTTAATAATAAAAGCCAATACCTTGAACCACCTCACACAACCCACGCCATATGTACCATTTTCTAATGAACTTGTCTATGAAAAGGATCTTGTTCGAAATTACCAGAATATTGTTCCAAGCATCCTGTTGGGAAGTGACTTTTACTATGAAATAGAGCCCACTCCAATATACAGATTACCCTCCGGCTATCACCTAATCCAGACACTTCTTGGTCTTATAATTGCTGGAAAGCCTTTCGGATGCTCAAATTCCGTCCAGATTACTAACTTTTCTTCCCAAACAACCGTCCGAGAACCTCCTAATGAATTTTTCACCCTCGAAAGTATAGGCATTACCGACCCTTCCCCGACCAAGAATGACGACTCGGTCCTAAAAGAATTTAACCGAACTACCGAATTTACCAACGGGCGATACCAAGTAATGTTCCCATTTAAATCCTGTCCTAAAACTTTACCTCTGCCCTCAAATTTTGGATTATGTTGGGGAAGACTACGTTCAACATTGAATTCTTTAAATAAAAACAACGACTTATTGGAAAAATACAACAAAATTATTGAAGAGCAACACCAACTGGGAATTATCGAAACGGTGGAAAATCCCAAGAATTTCAATCCCCCGTTGCATTACCTACCCCACCATGCGGTTATAAATCCCAAAAAAGTCCGCATTGTTTATGATGGGTCCGCAAAACTTCCTAATTCATTTTCTCTCAATGACTGCCTTCATCCTGGACCCGTGATTTTACCCGAACTGGTAGGTGTTCTCCTCCGAATGCGAATTCCAAAAATAGTTATTGTGTGTGATATCCAAAAAGCCTTCCTACAAGTCTCAGTGCATCCAAACCATCGAGACTCGATTCGATTTTTGTGGTTAAAGAAAATCCAAGATCCGTTATCCCTCGAAAATTTACAAATTTACCGATTTACCCGAGTACCATTTGGACTTTCTCCTTCCCCATTCCTACTGGCAGCTACTATTTTATACCATTTACGACTAAATCCATCAAAATTAACTGAAGAAATACTACCAAATATTTATGTAGACAACATTTTGTTTGGAGCCGAAACTGTCCTAGAAGCCAAAGAAAAATGCGACTCTTTAATTAAACTTTTTGCAACTGCCAATATGAAACTACGGGAATTTATTTCCAATACTCCCGAAACTATTGACCATATCCCCCTTGACGACAGACTCAATGGTCCCAAACAGAAATTTCTCGGTGTTGGATGGCAAACCGATACTGATTACCTATTCGTGGAAACCCATGCCCCACCTACCGAATTATCGAAGAGAACTATTCTCTCTTTTATTGCTTCCCATTACGATCCCTGCGGCTATATTAGTCCTATTATTTTACCCTTGAAATTATTCCTACATGAATTATGGTCTGAAAAACTCGCATGGGACGAGAAACTACCTGCAAATTTAATTAAATCTTGGGACAACTTAATGAATGATTGGAAAATCGGAACTGTACAAATTCCCCGACTAATTTCAACATTACTTGTTGACAACAGAATTTACCAACTACACTGCTTTTCAGACGCCTCTCTGACTGCTATGGGATGTGCCGTGTATTTACGTACGTTAAATCCTATTTCAGGAATTTCCCAGGTCTCGTTACTGTTTTCTAAAACCAAAATTAAACCGTTGAAATCGAACAATAAACTAACGGTACCCAGGCTGGAATTAATAGCCGCAAAAATAGGAACCAATGCCCTGGTTTATGTACACAAGGAATTGTCCCACTTGAATATTACCGTACCTCTTTTTCTCTGGATCGACTCCTCGGCTGTTTTAGGGTGGTTAACCGGGAAAAACCCTACCAATGAAATTTTTGTTTCCAATTGTTTAAACCACATAAGAAAAATTCCCGATTTATTGGTACAACATGTTGCTGGCCTCGACAATCCGGCCGACATTTGCTCCCGTGGATTAATTAACTCCCAACAACTACAACAACAAAAAGTTTGGTGGAATGGACCTCCTTGGTTGACAACTGAATCCTGGCCTCAAACCGAAATCAACCCTTTCCTTTCCAATGATCCGCCAAAATTGTCTTCTCCGAATATCGCCATAACGTTCCACACTCAGACCGAATTAAATACCCGAACAATAGACCCTACGTTATTCTCAAGACTCCCGAAAATATTGCGGATTTTTGCCTTCTCCCTCCGATTTATATACAAATTACGTCCAAAAGCTAAAATTTTTCCTCAACAATTCAATATTGACTACAACCGAATTTTTCCTGCATATTTTGAAATTTACCTGGCAAAAACCCTATTAATTCAACAGGAACAACAAATACTACCTCCACCAGATAAAGACAACGAATCATTGGGCCTTTTTCTCGACAACGATGGAATTTTGAGAGCCAAAGGCAGGCTGGGCCACAGTAACCTTCCTGACGATACCATTGAACCAATTTACCTTCCGTCCCATTCCCCCCTTACTAAATTAATTGTTTATGAATATCACCTATTGAATCACCACTCCAGCCCACTTTCAACTCTCTCTATGATCAGAAGGAAATATTGGCTACCGAAAGGGAGAAAAATCGTTTCCCAAGTTATTTACAAATCCTGTTTACCTTGCCGTCGGTTCGTTGCCAAACCGTTTGACCCACCTCCCTTCCCGCCACTACCTTCCGAAAGAGTGGAATTATTGCGCCCTTTCCTTTCTGTGGGGCTTGATTACTGCGGCCCTTTAAAAATATTTGACCAAAACCAAACCGAGAGAAAAAGGAAGCCACTCACCAAAAAATATTGGATAGTCCTATGGGTTTGCCTTTCTTCTCGTGCTCTCTCTCTCGATTTAGTGCCCGACCTAACCAATCAATCCTTTCTGTTGGCTTTCCGACGATTTGTTGCTAAATGTGGACTACCTAAAAAATTATTTTCCGACAACGCACCAACATTTACTTCCTTCCAAAAAGCTTTAGAGCCGCAATTCGGCATAAAGAATATTGAATGGGACTTCAGAGCACCACTAGCAGCGTGGAAATCCGGGCACTACGAACGTTTAGTGGCCCTAATAAAATACCATTTACGACGCTCCCTCTCTATTGGAGCTATTCCAAAATTATTTTCCCTCGACCATATAACAACAGTACTTGCCGAAATCGAAACCATAATTAATTCCCGGCCTATTGCCTATGATTCATCCAATCCTGCCGATCCCCGTCCCTTACGACCGATCGACTTTTTGAAACCTCTTGATCACGAGCATTCCCAGCTCTTAGAAAAACCAATCACAAACTCTCTCTTACCACCTTCCAGCAACCAAAGAACACTCACCCTACTTTGGAAAGCGATCCAAAGAAATATTGTCCGCTTTAAAACCCAATGGACTTCAGACTATATCCTTTCTTTGAGAGAGAAACATAAAAATCAAAGGTCCCCTACTCGTTTTCCCAAAGAAGGAGAGTTAGTTATTGTTTACAACGATGTTAGTCCCATCTCTCTCTGGCCTTTAGCGACTATCTTAGAAATTTATACAAACACTTCCGATTTCCCAAGCAAGGCTAAAATAAAGATGTTATCAGGACATATAACCACTCGTTCAGTAAAACATCTTATTCCTTTGGAAACGTTTGAAGAGAAACAACCAAACATCCCGCCCATAATTGAGACTAATAAAATACCAAACCCTTTGAACAATCCAACAGTTGAGAACTACCAGTACTTGGAATTAAGAAGCAGAAGATCCCCAAACACTGAATTTTCCTGGGGGAGCGTGCTTCGCAATATACCTCATTAATTTTTAACATTTTTAATTTATTTCCCAAATATTTTTGTTTTAATTTAATTTAACCATTTAACCTAATTCCTTTTAATGACTTACCCTCCTTTAATTTCAGAATTATTTTATTTGAATTTCTATGGGAAATATTTTTGCTGTAGGCCTTGAATTTAATTACCAGCCTAAAAAAGAAACCTTCGACTACGGATTTTTGTCTTTTATTTTAATCCTACTGATTTTACTGATTGCCACCGCCACATTTCTGATTTATACTATCCGTTCCCGGTGCCTTACTCGAGTTCGAACTCGGCATACTATAGCTGTAATAGCCCTCCTGATTTGCCTCTCTTTAACTACTACTGAAAGCCTTCCCCTTTCCTTGAAGAAATCAAACTCGTACTCCCCTATAAAACACGCTAACTTTAAACCTAAGGCCAATTTCCGAAAACTTACCAAGTCCTTAGCTGTTACTTCTGCCTCTCTCCTTTCCACGGCAGCCTTTTATTTTGGCTTAGACTTACTCGGAAATTACTTTTTGGAAGAACCATAACTCTCGGCAGTAATCCTTTGCAGTATCGTTACTACCTTTCTCCTCCTCCTAATTCTCCTAACTAATCTGTGGTCTAATCGAAAGCGCTTATTTAACCGCTCAACTACTGCCTCCCTTCCAACAAATATCGAACTTCCCAGCAATCCCTCTCACTCCCATCCGCCTTCGAGCATCTTAGACCGACCTTCCTCATCGCTTTAATTACTTTAATTTAGATACATGCCCAGACATACCCGAGCCCCTCTAACCGATAAAGAAATTATCCCTATTCTCAAACACCTAAGCCTTTTACCTAAACAACCTCCCATCAAGAAAATGGATCCAACCGACAACTTATTCGAACCACTTACTCCTGAAAGCCCCAACAACAATAATGAATCAACTCCCGATCCTCCTATTGACAACACCATTAATCAACCTATTATTTGCTCCTCTCTGCCGTCTGAAACTGTTGAACTGGTCGCGGCACTCCAATTACAACAACAGACTTCCCTGGCAACGACATTAATTCCAACTCCAACGAATTTGAAAATTGCTAAAACCATTCCGACGGATCTTCCAATAAAGGTAAACTTAAATGTCCCACCAACCTTTACAAATCGCCCCTCTATTTTTTCTCGCATGTCAACTCACCTGAACATGCATGCACCGCCCTGGACTGTCCGCATCCATCCTTACTTGCCAATACATCAACGAATTGGCCAACGTCAACCGTAACAACCACGAGGCTCCATGTTGCAGCCATCAACACTACCGATAGGAATGCCCTGGCCGGAATGTCGCGAAACGCGAAATTTCTCTAAATTAAAATTTTATTTTATTTTATTTTTATTTTTGTTTCCTTTATCTAAATACATAATCTATATAATTTTTCCCATACATTCTTTGTTTTCCTACACATACATTAATGTTTGGCCTTAAACCTATAAAATTAGTTTTGTGTTCTTGCTTCCTTGACTTCACTCTTTTATATGTTCTTCGTAAACATTAATTCTCACTTTTGCTTTACATTAGCAGCTTTTCCTACCTTTGCCTTAATATAATTTATATTTGTGAAATAAATAAAAATTTGATTGGAAAAAGAAGTGTTTTTGGTTTACTATTAGAGAGATTAGGCAATTTCTCTACATTCCCTTAGATTCGTTAAAATATCTGGATATCACTAAAACTCGAAAAAAATTGTTTAAAAATCATTTAAAAATAAATGTTAATCTGATTTCTATCTTCGCATAATCTTAACTAATTTATAAAGTTGAATGGGAACCAAGTTGAGTAACAACTTCTTGAATTGTTGGACGATTTTGTGGCTCGACAAGGCAACCCTATGTATATTCATATATTTAAAATTTAATATTATTTTTAAAAAATTTAAAATTGTAAAAATTACACTGAATAACTTCATCAAATCGTTCCAATTTTCCGTTTCTTCTTGATCATCAGCGTATATTGGATTGATTTTAAATATTTTATATAGAATAGCTGTGTGTCCTTTAGCTAAAAGTTGTTCACTGTTAACATTTCTAAAAGAGTCATAAACTCCTAGATGTTGACCGCCAGATCGTAAAGTAAATTCTAAAGCCAATAGACATAATGAATAAACGTCTGAGGCACGAGATACCTTTAACAAGAGATTAAATAAAATATATCTGGGTAAATTATTTCACGAAATAATCTAGTTTAGTCCAGGGTTGGAGTTCGTACTTTAATTTTTTGGTCAAAGTTCAATTGAGTTAATTTTAATTAGAGGGTCCATCACTAATTAAGAGAGAAGATGTTGATGGTGCAATAAATAGAATGCCCAGAAGTAATGCAAGAATGATATCAGTTAACCACTTGGTCATGCTTAAAGCCGACCGAACACTTGGCCATTGATTAATAGAGAACTAAGTTGGAATGAACATCAAATAAGCCGCTTTTCCCTATTTTCCTTCAGCTTAAATGCACCTTCTCTCTAGGCGAAGTTTTCATTAGTTTCTCAAGGATTACAACTTTGATCCTTACAATTGTTCGATTATACCCGAGCTCAGGTTAATCAAATAGCACTAAAGACTTAATTCATTTTTAGTTTTGTTAATAACCTCATATTTTCCTTCATCATTCGGTTTCTTATATTCTAAACTTTTATAGGTATCAAATCCACGTGATTCAGTCAGATGGAAAATCTGTCCTTCATTATGAAGCTTTTGTAGAATTGAATGTGTAGCTGGTAACAACTTGACATAACAAGGTTCATTGTCACTTATTTTAACGCAGAAGAAATGTGAATGGTCAATAGACAAGTGAACACCAACTTTTTAATGAGTATTTGATAATTGAAAAAAATTTTTAAATTTTAGTATTTGAAAGGATTATATTTTTAAAATTTTTTTTATTTTGTCCCCATTACACATGCTACAAATAGCCTTTCTAAAATAATCTAAAATAGTTGCCCCCTCGATTAACCCTTCCAGCGAGAGGATTAATAATTACCCAGATTATTTAGGTATTAGTGATGTTCGGGTATCCCGACTCCCGACACCCGACTCGGGAAATTTCCCGAGTTTTTGGCCTCCCGATCCCGACCCCGACTCCCGATGTCAATTCCCGACTATGTCGGGAAATTTTTACACCCCTAAAAATGTCTTTTTCTGATAAAATTTTATTTTTAAAAGGAAAAAATAAAGGAAAAAAAATAAAAAAGGGAAAGGGAAAATAAAATATTAAATTTTTTCCCAGTTAGCTATTGTTGATAGGTGGTTGAGTGGTTAAGCTGAGTGACTTCAGCTAATTTGATGGGGCTGGGTTCGAATCCAGTGTTGTGAAATGTATGTAAATAATTTTTCCTTCCAAAAATAAATGGTTTTTAACATTCATTTTGATTTTAAAATTATTTTTTTTCAATATTAAAACGTCAAGAAACTATAGAAAAATGAATTTAGTTTAATTTAAATTAATTAATTTAAAATTTGAAGGTTATTCTTTGTAATATCAGTAAACGTGAAAAAACTCTAAAAAAATTAATTTAGTCATGAATTTTCAAAATTTTCGCCTGCGGCGCAGAAAATGAAGAATATCTGGATTCTTGGCCTCAAACTTAAAAAAAGTTCGCTTGCGACGCCGAGGGACGAAAAATTTGATTTCTTGATATTTCAAATTTAAAAAATTTTCGCTCATTGGCTTTCCAATTCTCAAAATTTTCGCCTCCGGCTGTAAATAAAAGAAGTCTGGTTCTTAGACTTCCAAACTTAAAAAAATTTTTGCCTGCGACGCAGACAAAGAATTGGAGATTAAGAGGGATTCAAAAGATTAAAAGGTGGAAAGTTCGATGGAATAGGTGAAAAGTTCCCTGGAATAGTTTAGTTTTCGGATAAGCTGTGAAAAGTTTGATGGAATAGGTCAAGCCCCCCCCCCCTCCCCAGCCACGAACTTGGCGAAATGCAGAGGGGAAGGAATATGGAGATCGGAAAAGTGAATTTTTTTGTCTACGACCTCCAGGTTCTCAAATTTTCGCCTGCGGCGCTAAAAATTGAAGATATCTGGCTTCTTCACTTTACAAAATTCACAAAATTTTTGCCTACAAGACAAAAAAAACGGAATTTTTGGCGCCGAAGGCGCCAAAAATTTTTTTAATGTGAATTCCCGACTCCCGATCCCGACTCCCGAGGTCATTTCCCGACCCGACTCCCGTTTCCCGATTCCCGGGTTTTTTCTTCTCCCGAACATCACTATTAGGTATATACAATATGCTAAATTGAATAGTATCAAATAAATATTTATACGATAGTAGTTAGTCCCACCCCCTTGTCGACTGTCGAAATCAAGATCAAAAAGTGTGAAGCTATTTCCCTTATGTGAAACCATTTCCCTATTAATCTCCCCAGATATCTCCTTTAATTATAGATAACACCCATAATTCCGATTTTCAAAATCAACCGATATCAACCCTAAGTCATCCATTGGGTTTGAATCGGTTCGTTTTGAGAGTTTGTTTTGAGAGTTCGTTTTGAGATGGGCCGAATCAATTTTAATTCGGCCATCACATTTTGAAATGGGCCAACATGTGGTTATTATCAAAGGGGCCGAACTGGGGAGTTCAAACTGGGGCGCAGTCAGGATTTTACCTTTTCGTTGGGTCTGGATTTGTGGAGGTTCTCATATGTATGTATAGGTTCTGGTTTTCGAGATGAGAGGGGTGATTTATGGAAAGCTTTGAAGACCTTTTGATTAGTGGCGTGGGGGAAGCCTACTTCTGGTTTTGGGAAGGAAACATGGGGAAATTCACATTTTGATTAACTGTTATCACTTTTTAACAGGCGACACGGTAGGTAGGGCTAACTACTTACAATTATGATATTGTTCAACTGCCACAGCCATTTGAAGCACCAGAGCCATAACTTTAGAGGGCGATTTTTCTAACGAAATTTAAATAATAAATAGAAATTTTTATAAAAAGTTTACCCATATTGTATACGAAATAATTTTCCACAGTTTGTGTGCTATTCTCGATGAGAAGAGTAAGCTTTTCTGTTGACTCTTTGCTGCAATTATGTATTATTAAATTGTTAACGTTTATGACGTAGAACCAATCTTCGGCTTATAATCCCCTCATAGTTATTACTTATTACAGGGCTTAGATTCGTACATATTTTGTAATTACTGTACTTACAAATCAACCCTCGTACTTAAGAAATTGAACATGTACTTATTTATAAGTACGTACTTACAAATGGACTTTTTTGGTTGAGAATTGAATTTAACCTTAAATTTTTTAAAACTTTACTTGAGGCGCTAAAAAAGACATTTAGGAGAGAATTATAAGCGATTTGAGCTAGAATAAATTTTTTAAATTGTATTTTTGTAGCGTACTTATGTTTATTATATTTATTATATTTTTTTATTATATTTACTTGTACTCATTATACGATATAGTATTTTGTAAGCCTTCCCCCCCCCTCCCCAATGTACTTTCGAATTAAACTATTGTACTTTAACTTAACATTTTTCCGATCCTAGCCCTGAATTATTCTAAGTTTCTAAACCTAAATTTCTTTAAATACCTAATTTAAATATACAACTAACTGGCTAATAAGGCTCATTATACGATCATATTCCCCTATTTCACGCGCATATCCTTCAATTGTTGGTTGTAGATGCTTTTTCCGAAAAAACTTTAATACTTTCAAGGCCTTTTTTACATTTACATTATAAGAAATTTTTTTCTTATTATGTAATAAAATTTCTTTTAGTAACACAGAGTTGTTAAAATGAATATATTTAGGGTCATAATAACTAGCCTGATATATCTTAAAAATTATAATTTATTTTTAGTTTCCAAATAATTATTTTAAAAATTGTTTCTTTGAATTAATCACAAAATAACGTACAGATTCGTTTAGATCCTTTACTAATGCACGGCCATCAGCTCGGCTTATCAAAATCTTGAAATGTGACATTCTTTTTGTTTCATAATAATCTAT